CAGTCGCTTAACCAACTGAGCCACCCAGGCGCCCATAGATAAGTATTTTCTATATCCTTCGCTACAATGCAAACTTCTTTTCAATACGTTTATTCTAAGAAGCCCTTTCGTTAGTCAATTCTTTGTTAATTTCCTTTTTTTTTTTTCCAAACCTACGAGGTGGCAAATGCAGCTAAGCCCCTCATATAGTTTTAATTCTAAGCCTTGTTTGAATTGGAACTCGTATGCAGTGCTGGTGGAAATGTAAAATGGTACAGCCACAGTGGAAAATAGTTTGTAACCCTCTAAAGTAAACTTCATTATTGTCCCTGTCTTGAAGCTGTTACAACTAAGGCTCAAAGACACGAAATAAACTAGCTCAATGGAGGTCTCTCTGCCCTGATTTGTAACCAACAGACTTATCTTGCCTCAAAGCCCCTATTTTCCACTACACCCTGCTTCCTCCAGATGACCCTAGCTATTGAGGAAACTGTTAGCCCCTAACTATTATAATGCAATGACAGGAACAGGGGCTGAAGGGAAACATTCTGAAAAGCAGAAAACATCAAGATTTTCTTCAAATTACAATTTTTAAACCACCAGCTTCTTTGGGAAAAGAAATGCAAGATTATACAGGAACACACAACACTGAAAAATAAAATCCTTCAGAGGGGCCATCTGGGTGGTGACATTCGGTCTTTAAAGTTACATTTGTGCTGCTCATTTTAAGTGCTTCAGGGAACACTGGGGGAGAGGACAGCAATGGTGTGTTCTGTCTGCACCTCGCAAATGCTAACTTCTCCCACTCAGTTCTCTCAGAGCTCACTGAACTTTTTAAGAAATATTCCTATACACTGAAACTAATGTAACATTGTGTGTCAACTACATTTAAATAAAAAAGTTAATAATAAAAAATACTGCCAAGGGCTGGAGATTGTATCCCAGTGAATACTTGTATACCTTGACTTCCCCCCTTCCAGAGCAGCAAAATCACTTCTGTCCCAGGAGCTTTGGAAACATTTTATGATGCTTTATTCAGCCACACCACGTTCTAACTGGAGGAAAAGGTCCCTGCCTCCTACTACTGTCCCCAAGCCCAGGATTTCCTTCCCGAGACAGGTCCTAGGGGGTGGTAACAGGCCACGTGAAAAGCTGAGGCCATGATCCTTCCCTGTGAAAGAAGGGTGCTACAAAAAAAGACAGAAAGAAGAGGTCTTTGTTTCCCACCCACTCCCTCCAGCTTTCCACAGTGATCAGACTGACAGGTAAACAGGAAGCCCAGAAGAGAGAGGGGATGTTCCTGTCCCATGTGATCAGCTCAGCCTCAGTCAGAAAAGCTGGACCTCCACTCCCACCCAGTAAGTGAAAAGTAGAATCCATCATTCACGCATATATTCATCCACATATTCATCCTACAAACGTTTAATGAGCATATACTCTGTGCTAGGCACCATCATAGGTAAAATGCCCACCCTCAGAACAGACAATTCAGCATGGGGAAACAATCAACAAAATGAATAAGTATATTGTATATTAGAAAGTGAGAAAGAGCTATGGAGAAAATAAAATGGAGATGGATATACGGAATGTATATGGGGGGGGTGTGTGTGTGTATTAATAGGAAGATTAATTATAATCCTCACTGAAACAAAACCTTTTATTTCTGAGGGTGGGCAATTTTTAAACGTGTCAGATTAAACGCCAATGGAGATCTCATATGTTTAAGCTCCTACAAATAACAAATTCAGCAACACAATAAAAAAAAAAAGACCCTTCATTACCACTCCCTTACATTTTATTTCCAACCCCTCTTAACCATTTCTACTTGCTTCTCTCCAAAGAAATGCCTAGAACCAGTCAGAATATGCATGTTAGCCCTCATTATTTTCATAAACTCAGTCTTAAGTTTTAAACCTTTAAAATAAATTGCTAAATTAGAATTCTACATATTCTGAAAACCGCCACCAACATGAAGCTGCCCTCTGTGTCACACAGTCTTGACTTTACAACATTCATAAGTGGTTGGGTTAAGACCAGCCCATTGGTGGATGTGGTAACTCTGGGTTGCTCAATCAGCGCGGCTCTGGTCAGTTGCTTCCCAGCTAAAAACCTGAAGGTAAAGAATCCAGCAGCCAAGGAGAGGTCACACTTTCACAATCAACAGGAGGTTCTGAGTCCCCAAGAAATAAAGCAAAGTGTCATCTTTTTGTGGGGTATTTTTTTTTTCTGGTCGATCATATTGCCTTTAACAAGAAAACTGTGCAAACTCACTATAAGCCCAAACCAAAGTATACACCAAGAAAGGCCAATGCCACAGGTATGATGACATGTGACCTCCTTGACTTTGGAATGCAACAAGGAGGGGGGCTGCAACATTTTGAGTTTATCGCAGATAGACTCTGGACAATAAAGCCAGGCTCTCCGGAAGGGAGGTCGACCTCATTCTCTATCAGGCATCGTATCTGAGGCTTTGCCCGGCTTGTCTGGACCTGTCTCCCTTGCTAGAAGTCGAATACCCTGAAGTTTTTCCCAAGGCAGCCACAAGAACACTCCACAGTGTCAGCGAGCAGTGAATTAAGTGATAAAAACACTTGCTGGGCAGATGTTCCATATGTTCAAACCCTGTCCTCACCCTCTACTAAAGGAGACCATTTACAGGCCAGGTACTATGCTTAACATACCAAAAATTAAGATACACTGCCCTTAAAGGACTGGGGGGACAAACCGCTCCTCTGGCCTCTTTGCTTTTGGTGGGCCTCACAGGGCACCACCAACCTCGACTGCCCAAGAGCTCTGGCATGAAGTGCCACTGTGCTTCTCAGGGACCTACCAAGGCCTCTATGGCCTCCTGCCTCCTACAGTAACTCCCTCCCTCAGAGCTTAAAGCAGCTCCCAGAGCAGGCCCACCTGCTGCCCAACCTGTTCCCACTACTCACCACCGTAAGTCACCCCACTACCCCCTTTCATCCAGATTCCTCAACCACCCTACCACCCTTCCATCCAGAATGCCACCAAGTCATACCCACTCCTTGAGACTCAGCGAAGCCCACCCTCTTGGGGCATCCAACTGCCAGCTTTCTCACCTTCCGAGTCTCAAGTACAGGAAGGTAATTCCCCTTGCAGTTAGTTCTGCTGTTTCAGGGTCTATTGATCACATCTCCCCATTAGAGACTTGACTCCAGGAGGACCTTCCCCCAGAATAAGCAAACAGTGGAGTCACCAACAGTGACCCTGGGGACCCAAGCTCAGTCTCTTGACCTCTCTCTCCAGCCTTGGTCTCATACTCATTCCTAGCATAAGGGGGGATGTAATGGGGAAAAAGATCTAAGGTCTCTTTTATTTCAGATTCCAAAATTTAGAAATTTCATATAGATTCCCTAGACACAAATGAAAAAGGCTAATAAACTGTTCTTCCATTGACCCATTTAAACAGGTGGCCCAGCTATGCCAGCTGGTCTCAGTTTTTCCAAATGCTTGATGTTCACAGAGCTCTGGAGAGTAACTTTTAGAAAAAATGCTTTGTTTTTCACAAATTTTACAAGCCTGAGTTTTTTCCTCCTATCACTGCTTGGAAGAAACAAGTGGGGGAGGGGGTAACTGACCTGCTCAGTTTTGCTACTAAGATCATAAGCTTGGGATTCGCACTGCCTCAGTTCCTCCTCCGGGTGCGCAGATGGTCCCTGGCCCGCCCTGCCCACAGACTCGACAGTCCCGGCTTGCCAGGGTCTCCCGAGCAGCGCCGGGCCGTGGGCCGGCCGTGTGTCCCCAGCCGAGACACCACCTGGAACCTCGGGCGCTTCCAGATGGCCGAGTCAGGGCCGGCCGGGGCGCACCCCGCTGTCACCTGGCCCCGCGGCCTGCGCTCCTCCCGGGGCGGCCCTTGCCCCCTCGGCTCGCGCTCCAGTCGGCGTTTCTCCTTCGATTCCTGAGCCAAGTCTGGCCTCCATGCGGTCACCGGGCCAGGCAGCGAAGGCACCTGCCTCGCCCGCAAAAACGCACGAGCCTGCAAGTCCCTTTTGCCACAACCTCGACGGGTGCTTGCAAGAGAAATGCAGAAGAAAGGAAAACAAGCCCGAGGCAGGGCCGTCCCGGCCCGGCGTCTCCCACGAAATCGCCACCTGCGATGCACCCCGGGCTGGGGGCCGCGGGCCCGGCGGGGAGCGAGGTCCGGGGCCCGGCCCGCTGCGCCCGCCCGCCCCGGCGCGCCCCTTACCCGTGAGGCGGCCGCCCCCCTCGCCGTGCCCGCGGCGCCGCTGCAGGATGAAGTAGCAGCTGCTCTTCTGAGTCACCCAGAGCTTCAGGGCGTTCTTCAGCAGCACCTCCTCGGGCTTGAGCCACATCGCAGCGGTCCGACCGCGCCCGCGGGCCCCGGCTCACATCGCCCCGGCCGCCTGCCGCGCCGGGCCAAGCCCGCTCGGGAGGAAGCGGCTGCGGCGG